GAGATCTTGCCATTTGCAATGACGTGGATGGAACTGGAGGGTGTTATGCTGAGTGAAATAAGTCAGTCAGAGAAAGACTTGTATCATATGACCTCCTCACTGATATGAGGCATTCTTAATCTCAGGAAACAAACTGAGGGTTGCTGGAGTGGTGGGGGGTGGGATGGATTGGGTGGCTGGGTGATAGACATGGGGAGGGTATGTAGTATGGTGAGCACTGTGAATTGTACAAGACTGATGAATCATGGATCTGTACTTCTGAAACAAATAGTGCAATATATGTTAAGAAAAAAAAAGAAGAAGAAGAAGATAGCAGGAGGGGAAGAATGAAGGGGAGTAAATCGGAGGGGGAGATGAACCATTAGAGAAGATGGACTCTGAAAAACCAACTGAGGGTTCTAGAGGGGGGGGGTGGGGGGATGGGTTAGCCTGGTGATGGGTATTAAAGAGGGCACATTCTGCGTGGAGCACTGGGTGTTATTCACAAACAATGAATCATGGAACACTGCATCAAAAACTAATGATGTAATGTATGGTGGTTAACATAACAATAAAAAAATTATTAAAAAAAAATTAAGGAACTCATACAACCCACTCATTAGCAAAAAAAAAAAAATCCAAATAATCCAAATAAAAATAGGCTGAATAGACACTTTTCCAAAGACATACAAATGGCCAACAGTAAATGAAAAGGTGCTTAACCCCCTTGATAATAATGGGAAATGAAAATCAAAACCACAAAGAGATATCCTCTCATACCTTTTGGAAAGGCTATTATCAAAAAAACAGTATATATCCAAAGGAAATGAAGTAACTATTTTGAAGGGATATCTGTACCTCATTGTCACTGAAGTATTATTCTCAACAGCCAAGACATGGAAACAACTTAAGTGTCCATTGATGGATGAATGGATAGAGAAAATACGGTGTATGTATAGAATGGACTCTTACTCAGTTATAAAAAATAAAGAAATCCTGCCTTTTGCAACACTGGTTGTTGTTAATCAATGTCCACATATTAGCGGATTAGGCCCATTTTGTATTCAGTTTCTACTTTCTTGTTACTTAATTCTTCCCCACCAGAGACTCTAGTCATGCTTTGAAAAAACTGGAAGTGAATAATTCATTCTGAGAGTTTAAGAAATTCCATTTCAATATGCTAAGTAAATATTCAGCCATTGGTCACATTGTCTATTTGGTTGAAAACATAAGAGAAAACCACAGACACAATTCCTGGCTTTGTGTTTGTAGATGGTCAATCTTCACTTAATGTACCATCACCCTAAATATGGTCTTTGAAGAGGAATTCGTTTATTCAAAAACTATTTGGTGAAAGTCCCACTACATAACAGACATTCTTCTAATGCCAGGGACCCAGTGAAGACCAAATCAAGTTCCCCACTCTCAAGGAGCCTGCCATCTAGTGGGAGATGCAGAAATATAATTGAGTAGGGCAATAAAATAAGATTAGTGATAGAACCGTGGTGGAGACAAACACACAAGCACAGAAGATGGCACAACTTAATTTTATCTAAGGATTCAGGAAAATTTGTAGGAAGGGGAGCAGTTTACAAGTAGGGAACTGGGACGGACGTGCTAGGTAAAGGAAGCAATATGTGGGGGGGTATAAGAGAGGACAGGATATTAGGTTGAATGCATACACGTTTGTCGAGGCTGGGGGTTTGGGAGCATGTGTGAGGGTTGGAAAGTGAGTCTAAAAGGAAAAGCAGTGTTAGATCTTGAACAACCTTGTATAGGACAATAAGAAATTTGAAATAAATTCTGTAGGCAATGGAAATTGGCAAAGAAGTTCTCAGTAGGGAAATAACATGATTAGATTAAGGCATTAGAACGATTAACTCTGGCAATACTGTGGAGAAGAGACTGCAAAGGGAGGACAGCCGATGCTGGGAAACCAGCTGGTCTACTGCCGTGGTCCTAACAAGGGATGATGAAGGCCTGCCTACAGCAGTGTGGAAAGAGAGGAACAGGCCTATTGAAGAGCAACTTAGAAGGTTCACTTAGTACAGCTTTGTTAAGGATGACATATGAATGGCTAGCAATGAGTCTAAGGTGACCCCAGGTTCCATGTTTGGAAATTGGATAGAAAATAGCATATTTTTCCATGTCAGGGAGTAATAGGAGGAAAAGAATTTTGAGTGGAAAGATGTGTTCAGATGTTAAGGACTGATGGTATAGCCAGGTAGAGAGAGATAACTAAAAAGCCACTCTGAGGTCCAGAGTGAAGTCTGGCTGGAAAATTAAATGCCATTAATGAAAAATCTCTTAGAGGTTAGCCTATAATTTTCATGGAAGTATAGGAATTCATTTTTGTATCCCTAATAGCAGTGGCAATTCCTTTTAGCTACACATATGTTGAGTAAGAGTATTATTCTCGTATACCTAATAGCAGTGGCAAACCTTTTAGCTGCTTGTGCAAACACATAATTAAGAAATACATTTTATAGATACCTATGTAAAGCAAAACCAGACAAAACAACAACAAACTGAGTGCCAGGAAGTTGCAACTGATATAATCAGACCCTGCTAGAAGATTGCAAGTCGAAACTACATTTGGGGAAGACTATATGGTAACATGGAGCAAGAACTGAAAGAGGATCATGTGAGTTTGCCAAGTGATCCAACTTCTGGCTATTGGAGGGGAAATGATTGAGTATATATTAATGAAAACTTACCTTACAGATGTGATCTATAGAACAGTGGTATAAGGGAATAGTTTAATGTGTATGTGCATATATTTACTCAGATGAGAAACGCGAAGTGTATGAAGAACCATGGGAAGATATTTACACTGATGCTAAAACAGTATTTATAATTGTCACAAGTCTGCAAACATATGTGTACCAATAGAGATCTACTGGAAAAAGCATTTAAAAACGAAAACTGTCAGAATGATATGATTATAGATAATTTTCTTTCTCTTTTGCTTTTTTCAAAATAAAGTTCATGTCAAGACAACTCTTCAAAAGGTTTTCATTTTTATTTTATTTTTTAAAGATTTTTTTATTTATTCATTTGAGAGAGAGAGAGAGAATGAGCATGAGCACAAGCAGAGGGGAGGGTCAGAAGGAGAGGGAGAAGCAGACTCCCCGCTGAGCAGGGAGCCTGACATGGGGCTCGATCCCAGGACCCTGGGATCAGGACCTGAGCCAGAGGCAGAGCCTTAACCAACTGAGCCACCCAGGTGCCCCTCAAAGGTTTTTAAAAGGTATATATTAAGTGGCAATAAACCAAACATGTGCATATAGACATGCTCCAAACACACTTACTTAACTGTGTCTTGGGTATGAGGGGGTGTAAAGAAATGGGAGTCACTTGAATGAGGGTAGAGGGGAGAAATGAAAAGAAAAAGAGAGCTGGGAAGATCAGATTGGCAGCAGTGTCCCTGTGCCCCCCTAAACAGTTGCTCTGGATGGCATCAGGGGGTCGTGAGCCACAGTGGTGGAATCCTCATGTCACAGCTGATGTGACATGAGACAGGTGGGGGAGCAGGACCACAGTGACCACAGCACCCCATTTCCTTACACTGTCCCCGTGCTGGGCCATGGTACCGATGTGGCCTTGGGGCATGTCTGCAGTGGAAGATTTGAATTTCGGCTGGTGGCAGGAGATGAGACAACCACGTTCCTTTATGCACACATTTGGTTTCATTGACACGTTAACCACAGGAGCAGGGGCGAAGACTACAAGGTGTAGGGTTAGTATGAGCAGAGGCAAAGGAACTTTTTCTTAAAGAAAAAAGCATCTGTACTGCACAGACTTTCCACGATTCCACACCCACCCTGAAAGCCCCCTCTCACCACAGGAAGTACGCTGACCACTGGAGGAATAAAGAGGCTTCTAAGAGCAGCCGTTCCTCACCTTCTCCTCGCATAGCTCAGCAGGACCTCAGCCATGAGACCTCTCCTCCTGGCCCTGCTTGGGGTCTGCTTTCTCACTGAATTCATCGTGGAAGGTAAGTCGAAAGGTTCTGTATGAGAGAGGAACAGATATGCAGGCAGGCGGGTACACATTTGGGGTCTGACTCAGGTTTTGACTGGAGTAAACTGCTTTCTCCAGGGTAAGCCTCTGACTTCCCATGTGCAAAATGGGAATGACAACTTTGAGTTCAAGGGACTTTATAGATTCTGAAGACAGACAGAACTTGCTTACAATCTGGCTCCCACTTTTCATAATTGCGTGATTTGGGGTAAATTTTGCAACATCTCTGGACCTACGCATACTTATAAGCTGAACATAATGACAGATACTCTCACCTGGGATCAAAATGAGAAAAACAAACAAACCTAACAATTTAGGAATACTTATCAGATTTCCTCACTAGTAATAATTTCTTGATTAATGTTAGCTGTGGAATGGTGGTGGTGATTATATGTGCCTTTGTAGCTTTTGCCTATTTAATATCAATCTTGGTAAATTCTCAAAGATTTTGGAAGTTTAGTCACAATGTGGGGATGAGTTGGAGGTTGTATATTCTGAAGAAAATCAATAATTTCTATTTAAAAAAAATGGTTGGGAGCTCATGCCTTCATACCCAGGAAATCAATACTACCTTCAAGTATATGGGAGAGTCTATTATTACCGCTATGAATATTGTTCCCATTAATGATAGATTTATAAGAGATTTAATTTATGAGACCATATGTTAAGTGCTAACAAATAGATCAATGCCTTATACACATTCAGATAAACCTGCAAGGTATACCCAGATGAGACTTAGGTATACTGAGCCTCACCTGACTATTCTATACATATTTTCTTTTCTTTTTTTTTTTTAAAGATTTTATTTATTTATTTGAGAGAGAGAGAATGAGAGATAGAGAGCACGAGAGAGGGAAGAGGGTCAGAGGGAGAAGCAGACTGCCTGCTGAGCAGGGAGCCCGATGTGGGACTCGATCCCGGGACTCCAGGATCATGACCGGAGCCGAAGGCAGTCGCTTAACCAACTGAGCCACCCAGGCGCCCTCTATACATATTTTCTTAAAGGATCATTTTTTTTCTCCAACTGATTGAAGTTTACTTCTCCTGGTGGCTCTGGCAATAAAAGAGAACATCCTTCAAGTATAATTAATGTTTCAGTTAACTCTCCTTTCAAGGGCCTAATTTGTAGACTTACTACTTAGAATAGGATGTATGAATCTGATCATGGATCCCTAAGGGTGTCTATGAATAGAGGTGGCAAAGTCTGGAATTCCTTGAAATTGTGGGCAAAATAAATATTGATGTAACCAACAACTATAAGGCTAATAAATTAGGCCAAATATTGCAATGTGGCTGGCATTTTGCTGAGACAATAGGTCTGCTGTTTGGTGGAAACCCAGGTATGGTTGGGGGCAGCGACCCTCTGCTGGAGACAGAGGAGGACTGCAGACACTTGGGTCACTTCCCAAGCTTCCTCCTTGAATGTCCTCTATGAGTCCCACTGGGGCTTAGCCTCTATGTACAACTGTGGGCAAAGCAATCTCTGCTCTGATTCAGCTCTGCAACAGGAGCGAACATGATGTTTTTTCAGTGATAACACTACTGAGAATAAGAAGGTTTGGGGGTTTAGAGTCTAGTAGGATTCTTTGGGTCTTGGGAGTCCATGTTAGGTACTTTTCGGAGAAAAATATTGTTTCCTAAGTAGTGAGAGAAATACAAGAAAAGATCTCTGTCTTTCACTGGGCTGAAAGACAGTTGAGCATTAAACATAAATTGGCAAAGATGGGTGGTAAGGAACGTGTGGACGGCATACTGGGAATGCTGGAAAGAAGGGATGAAGAGAGGCACAGCTAGCTGACAAATATCTTATATTTAGTTTCATGTTCAAAAAAAGCCTTCTGATATCAGCAACACTGTAGATCAGACTTGATCCTCATCAGCTGTTACTTTAGATGCTTTTTAGCTGAATATTTCCCTGAGAAGCAAGTACCAGTCATTTTACCTTAGGAGAAAATCAGCACTTAGAAACCTTGATTAGATTCTACCAAACCTTTAATATTATTAGCTCTCCCAAGTTATTTCCCCTTCTCCAATGTAAGATTGCTCTCTGAATTGAAGTTTAGAAATCTCCTTGGGGGGCGGATTTCTGTTGAGGATGAACAGTTTATGAACTCCATCCTTTATATATCTTACAGCTTAACATTTAAAATAACACATGCGCCTCTTCCCACATTTTAATGTTGCCTTCCCCAAATTACTCTTTATCTCATCACTCTTTGTTATTTTATTTACAGCACTGTAACATTTATACTATTTGAAACGATAATTTATTTTTGTTTGTCTTCTTGGTTTTCTTTACCAGGTGTGGGGAGTGAAGTCCTAGAAAAGAGCATCTGTGTAAGTCTAACGACCAAGAGACTGCCAGTTAAAAACATCAAGACCTACACCATCAAGGAGGGCTCCATGAAAGCAGTAATGTGAGTTTGTCTCCCCAAAAGCTGGGCTTGATGGGACACAGTGTATAGAAATGCTGCGTTCCTCAGGAAATTGGCATGGGGGAAGACCTCAAGTGAACCAACAGCCCCTTTGTTTTTCCAATTAACCATGTCTTTATGTAGCACCAAATAGCAATTAGTGAAAAAATTTGACAATCAAATAAAGAATATCATCCTCTTTTCTGATTTAGTTTAGCAGAAGAATCTGACTGGGAAACGGATGAATATTGTGCTCAGTTCTGAGGGTTAGGTTTAGAGATGGCTGTTGTGGCTCAGGATTTGACCATATAACAACACTGGTGTAGGATGCTTCTCTACCCATCCCTTCCCTTTCCTTATGGTGTGCTAGAGTAAAGTAGAGTGCCATGTTTTATCAGTTACCATGTCTTAAGGAAATGTGTGAAAAACTAGCTACATAGTACTGTTCTCTTTCCAGGATCTCATTTTCAGAATAGCGGCTCTTTCCAACACATAATTGCAATTTTACCCAAAGAGATTAAATAAAGAAATCACCTCTGTCCAGAAAACAAGATGAGTGTGTTTAGATGTGAGAAGGAAGATATATGTAATAATAGAACTAGATGACCTCAAATGTCCAGTGTAGTTACAACATTTGGTAGCTTGGATGGAAAAAGGAGTCTGAGAATTATGATGAACAAAGGAGCTAGGTATTACGTGGATGTATTTCTCTTTTGTGTTAGAATAGATGGCAGGAGAAAGGTTTTCATTTATGGTGTCAAGGTTTTGAGAATAATTTCTGCATATAACCTGTTATATCTGGTCTGATCTTAACTCCTGGTTCCAAGGCTGTGAGGATGTGACTAACTCTATCTTTTCCTTGCATTGCAGATTTATTACCAGACGTGGCTTTAAAGTCTGTGCTGATCCACAAGCTGACTGGGTGAAAAAGGCAGTAGAAATTGTGGACACATCTACCAGAAGAAACACGAAACAGACCAAGCCTACAGGAGCCCAACATTCCACCAATACAGCTGTGACCCTGACTACGTAGTGGTCTTCTGGCCCCTCATTTCCTTACTAGCCAGCCAGCTCATTTCCCTTTACAAACTCCTGGACTAGTTAGATTATATTCACTTTTTATAAAAGTGCTGCATGAGCCAACTTATTTTCTTGTATTTTTATTTTTCATGTCTTTCATATTCATTTAGATGTTTTAATTAATAAATATTTATTACCGAGAATAATCTCAAAGTCTATTCATTACGTGTTGGGAAAGATACTATATCATTTATGCTCTGTCTCTGTCCTAATTGTCCCTCCCATTGATGGTATTCATGATGGGAGAGATTTTGGCTGGTGTTTGTCACAGATGAAAGCTATAGTCATCATTCTTAGGTTCCAGCTTGCAAGTGACAGTTGTGACAAGTGACAATTGTGACAAGTGACAATTGTGACAATGGCAACAATTTAAGAACTATTTCAACCTGTCTTCATAATAGAGTTCTATTTATGAAATAGGGGAGAAAATAAGCCAACTGTCATTGCATTTCCATTCTGCGGGTCCACTACTCAAAAACGGCCTCACTTGTGCTTGATCTCCAGCAAATTCTCTTACCTCTCTGTTTCTTTTGGTTTCCTATGAAAGGACACAAACAAAGGGCTTGTCAGTTCTTTCATTTGTCAAGATAGCAAAGGTTAGACTTTTGGTGAAAAGATATTTTATTCAAATAACAGTCATTGCTCTTTGAAATGGGCAATGACCTTGCTGTCTTCCTGTGCTGTCTGTAATTGTCACTACTTTATCATACTAGGCATGCTTGGCCGTCAGTAAGCTTTTAAATACCTCAAACACTGTCAACCTGGAACATTTCTTGGATGTGATCACAACTTGCAGTAAAGTTTTAATTAAATGTTCATCTAGGCATTCGCAATATCCCAGACTCATGCTCTGTTATATTTTCATTAAATTGCCAATTTGATTCATGTTTATGCCTATACTATCCACGGAGCTCATGATGCACACATCCGGTTCTATGAGACTCTAACTAGTAAGAACTAACTGTGCGCCTTGATCATTTCAAGGGACGAGGGAGTACTTACTACTATCTAGTCCTCAGGGGGCACTCAGCAATATCAAACGCTTTCGGAGATTAACGGAGGGCAGCTGGTTGGAATCCGCTCACTTCTAGTCATCCAGCTGGTGAGCCAGAGTGGGAACCATTAGAAAGTCACTTCCTAGCAAAAGGTGGGCCCATCTAACCTTTCCCACTTCTATTTGCCCACGATAATTTTCAAAGCTGTTCTTAAAGAAACAAGGACTAAGAAGAAAATACTTGCTTTATGAGGGGTGACACATGGAAGGTCATAGAAGAGGAACGGAATGGATTCTTGACTGAGGTGTGTATTTGATTTCCCAAATGTGTCCCAGACCCTGGAGGTTTCTATGAGATAATAATATGACAAATGGAAGAATATGGGTATGCACATCTTGTTAACTTACCACATTATCTAAGGTGGTGCTATATGATGTCAAGGGATTTCAGCCAAGTAGTGTACATAACTTTTAACTAATTGACTGGATGTTTTGAATTCATTTGTGTAGGACCTGAGTTTTCTAACTATACTCTGGTGGTTTATTGGATTTTAATTCAATTCAAAGAAATAATGTAAGAAGAAGAGATCTCAGAATATTATTTTCTTTTTTTAGGGGCTGCGACCACTATTTGTGCTCCTATGACATCTTGTACTTACCTTTAACCAAAAATTTATCAGTTTGTACTGAAATTGCTCATTTGTCTCTCTGTGTCCTCCCCTCCCCATCCCCACAATTAGACTGGAAGCTGCTTGTATGTATTATTCAGAGCCTAGGATAGAACTCTAGGGCGTCAGTTAATATTTGCTGGATGGATGGGAGGAAGAACACATGTTCGCTTATTTCCTTCATTCTACGTCTACTCTTTTATAGTTCTAAAATTATATTTAACTCAAAATAAACTTTAAAAAAAGATTTTATTTATTTATTTATTTGACCGGGGGAGGGAGTGAGGGAGGGAGGGAGAGAGGAGAGAGAGAAAACACAAGCAAGGGAAGCGGGAGAGGGAGAAGCAGGCTCCCCGCTGAGCAAGGAGCCTGATGCGGGGCTTGATTCCAGGACCCTGGGGTCCTGACCTGAGCTGAAGGCAGACGCTTAGCTGACTGAGCCACCCAGGAGCCCTCAAAATAAACTTTTTTTTTTTAAAACAATGTTCAGTTCAGCAAACATTTTGGGGTACTTTCTTTAGGGCAGGCACTGTGCTAAGCTCAGGATATATCGAGATAAGTAAAACACCATTTCTGCCTTCGGGAACTCACAGTCTAGTGGATGAAACTATGATGTAAGCAAACCAAGTGCAGTACAGGGCTTGAAACAGGAAATAATATAAGCATGTTCAAGAAACAGAGATAACATGGAGAAGGGAATGATTATCTTGGGAATGTACTCTCAAAGGATTTCTGATTTTATATAAAATTATGAATTATTATTATTCATAAAAAATGCTGGGAAGATGCACCTTTAGTTGGTTTGAAGAAAGATGTTGTTACATGTTTTTCTCTGCACTAGAAAATTCCTCACTGTGATTATAATATTTGTATAGTATTTTATGCTTTTCTAGGTATCCGATGTAACAATACAGTGAGTCTAAAACTGTCACTATAATTTAATTGGTGAGAAAATGAGCCACACAGAGATTGAGTGTCTTGGCTAAGAGCAAGACGGAACACAGAGTTACTGAGAAACTGAGCCTAATCTCAGACATCGACTTTCCCTGCTATCCCAGCCTCATGAAGGAGAGTGGGGTGCAGGAGTCCCCCTAGCATGGAGGTAAAATAGGATTTCTCAGAGCATGGCCACATCATCTCATAAATCTCAGAGCATGGCCACATCATCTCATAAATCTCTAAGGTAAATTAGAAGTATTTGAAGACCATAACAAGCACTTCCCATTTGATTTTTTCCTATGCAATTATTTTTAAAATGTTTTTAATTTATCAAAATAACACATGAATGTAGTCAAAAGTTTAAATAGTACAAAAGGACCACTAAGGAAACCCACAGTCTCCTGCCCTGTTCTTCCTCTTTTTTAATCTTCTTCTTCATAGACAACTACTTTTCACTCTTTTAGCTGATGCTCGTCCTCATAGTCACCTTCAAATCACCAAGAGTTGCACGCCACTATTCCCTGGGTTGTCAATTTTGGACGTGATCTGTGGCTGCCTCTATGAAACGTTAGGACCTAGCTCACTTAGTCCCAACCTTCTGCCATTGTCTCCATAGGCTTATGTCGATATTTCCAGTTAGTTATGTTGATAGCTTTAAGTAATAGACGTATTCTTTATTTCTTGTCCTGTCAACTGTGGACAGCATTTCTTGACTTTGCATTTGCAATACTGTTCTGTTTTCTAGAGCAAATACTTAAATAGTTTTTACTCTGTCATCAGCACTAGTTTATTGCTTTACAAATGTTAAGACATTTAATCACATAACTGACCTCAAAGACAAAACAACTAGCACATGAAAACTGTGAGGGATATAGCTCAGATGTAAACCCCTGGAGGTGTGGTCCAAGTTCATGCTGTTGATGGCTATGTCACGCTAAATTCCTCTCTTCAGAAGCCAGTCCCCTGAAGACTAAACCACAGATAAAGAACCCAGGAAGAGAGTAGCAGGCTTACACAATATCTTCGTCTAACCAAGTAATTAATTAGTTCATTCAGTAAGCATTTATTGAGGGTCTACTCTGTGCCAGAAACTGAGGTGCGGCAGTGAGCAGAACAAAGTCCCTGCTCCCACCAAGCTTACCTTGTGCCCTATCTCTTTCTCCAGGATTCTTTCATCAACTCAATCAACAGATGTTTATGGTGCCTAATGCACGCAGTCTGGATGCTTTGCTGGGCTCTGGGATGCAGTGCAGAAACCGGACACAGTCTTTATCTGCGGGAAGCTTACCCAGCTAAGCAGACAAGTTCACCACAGTGTCACCCAGGTGCTGAGAGGGAGACCAGAGAGCGCGCTATGGACGCGCAGGCGCAAACCTGCCCAGGCTTCAGCCTGCGGAGAGGGGCAGGACCGGCTTGAAAGTAGCCTTCAACCTGAAACCGAAGGACAAGCCAGTTATCCAGAGGGTTTCAGTGCATTCCAGCCAAAAAGAACAGCAGCCGTGAAAATGCCTGCAGGCCAGAGAGATGGGTTAAGGAAATGCACATGGTTTCCTACGAATGACCAACTGAGGGACAAAGTGAAGGTTAGAGAATAATGGGGGTGAGGACAAAAGTGAGGTAGAGAGATAGAGACTTTCCCCAGGGCTTCGTCAGCTAGAGCAGGAGTGTGCACTTCATGTTACAGGCTGTGGGAAATGATATTGCTTGCCAGGTGCAAAGTGAAGTGCAGAGAATGAGATGGGGGCTGGGAAGCCAACTGGGAGGGGGCTCTGGACATGGTGACTTTTGAACTTGGCCTGGCATGGTGTGACACATTTTCCCTTTTCCTCTTGGGCCTTTTCTGCTTAGCCAGCGCGCGCATCAGCGATGCTTGATTGTCCGACTCTGGTGGGTGGCTCAGTGGCATGCCAAATGTCTCAGGCCAGTTGCTTCATTCCAGATTCCTTGGCTGTGCGGAGCCAGGGCTGGGATGGGAAAAAACTGCATTTGCAGAATCACCTTATTATTTGCATTATTTATTGGCTAAGGCTGGATCGGTGGGACCAAGATTGGTCAACCACCAAGAGGAAGGAGGAGGCAGGGTGGAGAAGCAATAAACTTGATATTACTGGGGTTTTAGATATCCATAGACCAAGTCTTTTCTGATTTATTCGGTTTCCTGCGTATTTGTTGAGCACTTGGCAGAGTACAAGGGACACAGGATCTAGTCTGCTGTTACGGAGCCCATGCTCTGGTGGGGAGAAAGTGCAGTCCCCAAAGCCATTCCAACTTGGATATTTCTGACAGCGCAGCTCAGGGCTCCTCTCCTCTCAGAGAGCTTTGTGATGTCCCCAGCCTGGGTGATGGCCCTCT